ACTGCCATGACGGGGAAGCCCTAATCCATGCTGCCATGCCCTTAATGTCCTGAGCTTTCTCAACCCCTAAGGACCCTTGCTGGCCCCTCAAAGCTAGTTTGGCCCCAGAATCAGGCATTTCCTAGTGGAAGAAGACAGACATGCTGACAGGTGGCACTCCCGCCCCCACCCCAGTCCCTCCCTAGGGCCCATAACTAGGCGGACGTGTGCTCTAGGCAGACTGATAAGTAGCACATGCTGGGGGTCTACCCCATCTCTTCAAAAGCAACACCAGGGGCAGATGTCACCTGATGCCAACACTCCCGCCCCCACCCCAGTCCCTCCCTAGGGTCCATAACTAGGCGGACGTGTGCTCTACACAGACTGATAAGTAGCACATGCTGGGGCTCTACCCCATCTCTTCAAAAGCAACACCAGGGGCAGATGTCACCTGATGCCACTCAAGGACACTTAAGTCCAGGCTGTTGGTTTGGGATCACTGAGGCCAGGTCTCAGGTCAGATGACCTCATTGGCCTAGGCTAGGGAAAATACTGGTCCTGTTGGGGCTTCCCAGCCTGTATGTGCCTCTCTGTACCTGCAGGCCTCTGCTAGCACCCACAGCCTTCATCAGATGGCTCAGCATATTTCCTCCACCTTCTCTCCCTGGGGAGCCCCAGAAGGGACCAAACTGGTTTTCTTCTCACTCCCCAGACATACCTGACAGTCTTGGGACTGTGGCTTAACCTCTCTGGGGCCTATTCTCATGTCTGGGCAGTGTTCCCTATACCACAGGCTACACTGACAGCTTCCATGTGTTACCTGGCTCAGAACAAGGGCAAATGCCCTGTGAGTGACCAGGGCAGATACTTGGCCCAGGCATGCCCAGCTCTTCCCTGAAGCTCCATTTCCCCCTAGATGCCAGACTTCAGTGCTGAGTTACCCAAGCTTCTGAGACCCCCGTTGAGTGGCAGCTTGTTGGCAAGGGCCATGCAGAGGACACCATAGTCATTGCTGGCCTTGGCCAACCAAGAAGGGAAGCGGTCCAGCCTGTGCTGCCCCTGGCTTCCTCAGCAACCTTTCGGGTCATTTTCTGAGATGGCCCCCAGGAGGGCTTTCCTGAATCTGTTTACCCAGAAGCCAAGCCACTGACATCCACCTACTCACCCACCTCTAGTGCATGCCACTCACTGTGAAGTCAGCTTAGGACCAGGAGGGGCCACCATGGGAAGGGCTAAGAGCTCCCCCTGACCTCTCCTAGCCCATCACTTGATGCTCATAGGAAATTTTTTTTCTTCAGATTTTTCATCTGTAGAAAAGATGACAAATCCAGAAAAGTATAAAATGTTTTCAGTTACCCAGCATTCCACCACCCAGGGATAACAAATGAACATTCCTGTCCTTCTCTGATGGTCTGTGCAGTGAGTCTTTTAAATGGGATTATGTAGCTCTCAGCACGTCTGCCTCACCCTGAAGCCCACTTTGAGAGTCTGGTTTCTGGGCCAGGAGCTTTTGTGGGTGTAGCTGGCCTCCTTCGATGGACACTTGATCCCTACTTTCTCTGAGGATAGCACTGTGACCCTGAGCATCCCTGCACCTGTGTCTGCTCAAGGTCATGTCCTGGACCTGACAGATTCCAGGAAGGTGAACCCTTACCACAAGTGCATTGGAGGCTGGGCAGGTATCCCATAATCCTCCATCAGGGCAGTGTTGGAGCAGGGCTGAGCCAGACCTGCTTCCTCTCTCAGTAGCTACCCACTGTTAGCCCAGACCAGTCACAGGCAGGGGTGGCTGAGCAGGAGCCCAGGGGAGGATGAAATGGGCCCTGGACCCCTAATGTTCACAGGACACTCATGTGGCTGTCATTATATGTCAGTTAATGTGGCCTTCCTACAGGGAGGAACCACCTATCCCATCACCCTCCTTGTCCCTCTGACCAGGAGATCATGTGCACTAGGGGCAGAGCCTACTAGAAACCAAGCCTCAGAATAGGACAGGCACTGAACAAACTCATAGCAGGAACTGGAAGACTGTCTCCCCATGACACCCCTGAAGCTAAGGTAGAGGATGTAGGCTTGTGGGTGGGAACAGAATAAACCTGGCTGGTGACCAACAGACCCTGCCACCATGGGACTCAGTGCCACCAATGAGCTCAGAGCCTTTGGAACAACCAGCAGACTAGCAGGTGCACAAGCCAGGTCCCTCCTCCCACAGCACAGCCCCCCCATCTCTTGGCCTCTGCCCAGGGCTGTGGCCCCACCCTGTGCCCCCCACTTGTTCTGAGTAGCTCTGTCCTCTTCACCCACAGGCTGCGCAGCCCCTGGGTGCCCTCATGCCTCGGGTCACCCCATGTGTCTGCAGGGCCACCTGGCCAGGTCCTCACCCTCACTCTGGGACAGGTAATAAACCTGTTGTCTCCACCCCCACACCCCCACTCCTTAGTGTCTGCGTCTGTGCCCAGACGTGTGTCTCATGTCTGTGTCCAGCTCCCCAGGACAGACTCAAAAGAAGAAGGACCAACATGTTGCCTCACACCACAGCTCCATCCTTGGACTCCTGTGAGTGGCCACAGACCTTACAGATGGAAGGACTCCTGCAGGCCCCTCTTATGGTCAGCACTCTAATGCTTGTCCGTGGTCTTCCAGTGGACAAGGAGGAGACTGGGACACACAGTCACTGCAGGGGCTGGGAGTGCTGACTTCACTGACTAGGACACAACCAGAGAAAAGCTACTTCACTGCTAGGAAGGGAAAGGTGCTGGCTGCTCCAGGCTCCTCAGCCCCCTCCCCTGTGCATGTTAAGATGCGTTTTCCGAATGTGGGGGCGGGGCCTGGTCTAGCTTCCCCCTAGCCTTCCAGTGGCCTGGCAGCCCCCACCCCCACACGGTAGCACCTCTCACAGCATTCCATGGTGTTGGGTGGTTCTGGTACTCAGCATAGGAAAGAAACCAATGACAGCCCTGCTCTCTGAATGGGCATACCCTTCTGCCTTGCAGATGTGAAAACTGAGGCCCTGAGATGGGAGGACACTGGGTGGGAATTGGTGTAGCTCACCCAGGAAACCAGCAGGGTCCTCTCTGTTCAGAGTATCTGGGCAGCTGCATCCCCAGGGCATGGCCAGATGTGAGGAAGAGGTTTGAGAGGGGTCTCCCAGGTCCTCTCCAGGGTCTGGGATGGATAGCTGAGTGTGTTGGTACACAGGGGCTGTCAGGTGGCTGGACTGGTAGCAGTAGGACACAAACTGGTAGGTGGAGCCCAAGGGAGAGGCCAGCTCGACACAAGACCCAGGAGGGGCTGGGTGTGGCTGGATGTGGAGATGGGGCTCAGGTGAGGTACAGTGGTAAGCCAGGCCAAGCCCAGGCAAGGCCTGCAGCTGGGACAATACCAGAATGGATGACACCAGGCTGGACAATTCCAGACTCAAGGGGAAGATGCCCTAGGGACATCATCAGCGTCTGAATTCCCCGGATGTGTGTCTGGGTCAGGGGCCTGAGTGATGGAGCCGTTGGAGCAAGTAGTCTGGGGTGCAGCTCAAGGTGGATGGCTATGAGGACTGGGTGGGGCAGGAAGGGCTTGTGGACCAGGGAGTCACCCCATGTGTCTGAAAGGCCACTGGAGGCTCAGGGTAAACCAGGCTCTATGTAGTGTTACTTCATTTTAGGTACTAGCCCACATAGATCCTGTCACCTCCCTTACAGCAGGTCCTGCTGGCTCCCAAGGCAGAGGAATGGAAGGATGGGGTGACCCTGGTTGGGTTCTGCCAGTGAGGGAAGAGTCTGAACCTGTGGAGGTGGGGCCACGGGCAGGCGGGGCACTAGAAAGGGCAAGGCTGAGTGTGAGAGTCTGGCACGCTGCAGGTATAGGCTTGGGAGGGCTCATCCTAGAGGCTAAAGGACAGTGAGAGTGCTGGCAGAGGGGCCAGCAGGGCAGATGGAGAGTCCTCCTGTGGCCTGTGACCGGGAACCCATACAAGGAACCTTCCAACCTCAGTGGCTGCTGCCCACCCCAACCCACACACACTGGATGCAATGGGTACTCCAGGAAGACTGCCACCCCACAGAGGAGAAAATGCCTCAGTAAAGGGTGGATGGGGGGTGCTGCCTAGAGGAGAGTGGTGTGCAGACAGCTGGGCGGTAAAGCACCTAGCAGCTGGGCCTGTGTGGTAGAACAGGGCTCCTTGCCTTGGGCTTACCTAGGGTTAGTCTCTATTGGGGACTGACTCTTAGGAGGGCCCGCCCCTTACCTTTGGCCTAGGTGAAAACCCAGGAATGCTTAATGGGGGTTGGTTGATGTGAGCCCAGGTGACATGTGCAGCTTACAAGGACTCCAGGTTGAGGACACAGCTCTGAGGGGACACCTACCAGGCCTCTATACCCCTCACTTGGGTTTGGGTCAGGGAGGTCCCCAGAATGCAGAGAAGCTCCATTGTGTGGGGAAAAGTGGAACCCTAGGAGCTCTGGAAGATTCTTTAGGGAAAGGGCTCCCCAACAGGCTGGGGCTTTGCTGAATTTCCGGGCTGTGTGTAGTCTCGATGGCTGTTGTCGGGGGACCTTGCTTGAGCTAGGGGCATTGTCACCAGTGACCCACTCCTGGACCCAGAGGGGTGAAACAGTGTGTTGGAGCACACATATAACCAGGAGATGGTCTGGTAAAGGGCTACAAGTGTCCACTCACGGTCTGGGTTTCCTCACCCCAGAGCTGAGGAGGAGCAGACTGCCAGCAGACCTGTTGTGCCATGTAGATGTCAGCTCCATGAGGGAGGCATGAAGGCCATGTTCTCTTGGCTGACAACACAGGGATTTTCTTGTGACGGGTACAGGTAGAGGTCTGAGCATGAATACCAGGGCAGCCACAGAGCCCCTGACCCTGGACGGGGCCAAGTGCCACCACTGCTGGAGGAGGTGTGTATCAGTGTGTGTGCCAGCATGTGTAAGTGCGGTTGGGTGCATGGTATGTGCCCACAGCATGCCTCAGTTTCCCCATGCTCAGTGCTGTGGCCTGGCTGGCTGCCGGGTGTCTTGCAGCGCGCTACAGGAACAGAAGGGCGAGCTGCGCAAGCGGCTGTCCTATACCACTCACAAGCTGGAGAAGCTGGAGACCGAGTTCGACTCCACACGCCACTACCTGGAGATTGAGCTCCGCCGTGCCCAGGAGGAGCTAGACAAGGTCACAGAGAAACTGCGCAGGTGAGATGGTGGGGAGCGGGGGTCAGTTCAGCACCAGCCCAGCTCTGAGGGATGTTCGGCCCCACCCACAGATGGGGAACCCAGAACCAGACTTCAGTCAGGGTGTGGCAGGCTCTCACAGTGCTTTCTCCAAGACCCGGCTCCTACCGCCTCATACATTCTCTGTGAGCCAGCAGCAGCACAGAAGGAGCCACTTGAGAGCCCTGCTGGTGCGCAAAGACCACTGAACGTAGGCTAATGTACTGAGAGGCGGACCAGACTCAAAATGTTTTCCCCCTGCACATTTGTTTTTCTGAACCCTATTGCACACTTCCTGCATTTAAACACAAAGTGCAGACTGCCGTTGGCTGAGTTTGTTTTACATATTTAGAGAGCAGCAGCTGGTGCTGCCCTGAGGGCAGTGTGTCCCCTGCAGAATGGCCCCATTCTTCTGGGCTTCTGAAAATCCCCACTGAGCTATATGGAAGTCAGGCTGGGGCAGTGCAGCCAGGCTTTGGTTAAAGTCCTGGCTTTGCCACTTACTACGTTAAGCATCTCTGTGTCTATTTCCCATTGGCAAGATGGCCAGTCACACTGCAAAGGTTGTCAAAAGGACACATGGTCATCGTGCCCAGTTCCCCTGCCACCAGCAGTAGAAGCACGGCACCTGGTACCTGCCTAACACTTGGCTGTATGCCCTTTTCCGGAGGGAACCATGTCTTGGCACTCAGCCTACGGCTACACACACACTGCCTCTCCCCTCTAGTGTGCAGTTGAGCTAGAAACCACACTGCCAACTTATAAGACCTGCGTGTAAAGTGAGTGAACTGGCCCTGTATGTGGACCTGACAGGCCCTTCTTGTCTCCAAGGAGTCCTGTGAATAGGCAGAACAGTGCCTTTGACCCTGGTCCAGAAGCCTCAGTGGGAGTGAGCTCTGATCACATCTTAAGCTCAGACATTATATCAGGTGGGGCTGGGAGGACGAACTCAAGAGTCCTAAGAGCCATGTCAAGCAGGATGTGATGGTTATAAGGGTCCCAAGGGTTGTAGGAAAGCCAGACCCTGCATACTCGGTTGTGACCTCATTGCTTCCTGCTGCAGGATTCAGAGCAACTACATGGCACTGCAGAGGGTCAACCAGGAGCTGGAGGACAAGCTGTACCGCATGGTGAGGCCCCGACAACATGCACCCCAATGCCTTACAGGACCTTGCAGGGCTTGAGTCATCGGCTTGTTTTCCTGAATGGGAGATGTTCTTAGGATGAAAATGAGATGGGGCCCGAGGCAGCCCAGCCCAGACAGACAGTAAGGAGGATGACTGAGGGGTTCTGCACCCACCCTGTTTTAGGATGAGAAGGTTCTTTTCGTTCTAGTTTGGTAACAGATGAAGAAGGGCTGGGCAGTCCTAGGGGCTGGGCCTGGATAGGAGCCCTTTCCTTCCTAAGCATCAGTCTCCCAGCTTGTTAGTAAGATGGACACGTCAGACTGTCCGTCCCAATCCTGAAGCAGGACATCGGGCAGGGGACTGAGGCCTAGTGGCAGTGACTGACTTAGGCTGGTCCAGCTTGTCAGCAGTGGGGTGGGATTTGAACCTGGGTCAGTCTATGTGCTTAACCTCTGCCTTTGACCCTCTGAGCACCTTGTCATTAACAGCTATTGGGCACATGAAGGCCTGACCAATAGTTGGGTCTCACCACTGACCACTGACCACTCCTCCTTTTGTACCCATCACCTAGGGCCAACACTATGAGGAAGAGAAGCGTGCGATGAGCCACGAGATTGTCGCCCTCAACAGCCACCTGCTGGAGGCTAAAGTGACCATCGACAAGCTGTCGGAGGACAACGTGAGTGCTGTGTGCATTCAGCCCCTGGAGGGCTGCAGCAAGTGTCTACTGGGGGCTTTCCAGGGCCATTCTGAGTCAGAGGGATCCAGCCAAGCTCAGGGGAGAAGTGGATGGACAGGGCAGTGATGACTTAGAGTGCCCATGGAAGCTGGGGAAGGACAGACCCTCTGCTGGAAGGAATGGAGGTGGGGTGCAGGAGGCCCCAAGCCACTAGGACTCTTGACTTCAGCCAGCCCCAGTGTCCTATCACAGCTGTGTGGTCATCCAGAAACCACATGAGTCAGGCCACCCACCCTCCACTAGCCCCAAGGGCTGACTGCAGACACACTAATTAGCCTCTGCTCCTTGGTAGATCCTGTAAGACTCTGATATTATGGTATAACCAACGCACACTAAAATAAATAATAATTTTAAAAGTTGCTGCCCAGACCACTAAGTCCATGTGGGGAAGGTAGACAGTAGACTACGCAGCCAGCAGACTGAGTAGCGTGTTAGATGTACCAAGTGTCCAGAGGAAAAGAGATGCAGGACCAGCACCTCATGCCAGACTGTGAATTTCACTGGGGCATGTCCAGAAGAGGCTGCTGAGCCCAGAGAGGAAGGAAAGGGAAGCGAGACGTGCAGGTGTCTAGCGAAAGAGCCCTTTCCTCAAACTGAAAGCCTCATGGAGCCAAGGGGACCTGAGAGTGTGGGGCGAAAGCAGAGAAGATAACAGGGAGCTGGAGGGAGGGGAGGAGGAAACACCAAGGACATCTGTCAGGGAGTAGCCAGTAAGATTGGTAGGGGACACCAGCCATGTGTCCTGACCTTGAAGACAGGAGAGTGTGACCCTCTGTGAACTGGCCTTCTGGTTCACCAGCTGCTGAGATAGCAGCTAAGGGGCACTGAAAGGAGTCCTTGGGATTCAGGGACTTGGAGGTCAGTGGCTGAGTGGCCTGCACTCTTCCCAGAGTGGGGCAAGTGGGAGGTTCCAAGTATAGACAACTCACACAGGGAGCGTGGCTCTAGGAATAGGTAGAGAGAGCATGGACCATGGGCAGGCCCTGAGGAAGCTCAGGCTTTTCCAACCTCGAAAGAGGTAGACAGTCCAGGGGTCTTGGTGTCAAGCCAGGGGCTCTGGCCAGTGTGGCATCTTCCCCTGCAACAATGTCCATCACAGAGACTGTCCAAGGTCACCTGCTTCTCCAAGTAACATTTGCTACTCACTGTGGCTTGGTGGGGGCTCAAGAACCAACCTGGACTGTGCCCACAGCCCTCTGGTGCCAGTGGCAGCTGGCCTGGAGTCTCACAGGGGCCGAGTTGAGACTCTGTATTCCTAGGACGTTCAAGGAAGAGTTGAGAGGGACTGGAGGACTCAGGTTCCTTCCCCTGTGCAGGCCCAGTGCAGAGGCAGGATGGAGGGGAGCAGCTCAGAACACTAGTCCTGGTCAAGTGGGGCTGCCTTTGGGCAGCACTGGTGGGTCCTGGGTCTTCTGGGCAGCCCGTGAGCTGCTGGAGCCAGCCTGGACGTGGTCCTAGAGGGCAAGAGTACACAGCCCAACACAGGCACATGCAACAGAGATTCCAAAGATGAAAACACCCCTCGTTCCTACTGTTTGCATCTGTTTTCAGCTCAGAAGGCTGAGCACCTGGGGTCACATACCTCCCTGACCTGGGCCCAGCACTAAGGCTAGGTGACTCTCTGAGAACAGGGTATGAGCAGCAATTAGACCAGGATGGAAGGGCTGGGGCTCATCCCCATCCTTGATTTATGCCTGACACTCCCACTAAGTTATCTTTGGAGGGACTCTGGAAGAACAGGAAGCCCAGGCCTGGTAGCTTGGGAACCTCCTGTAGCTCCGGGCTGATGGGGGTCCATCTGTGGCTTCCCCAGCTCACAGAGAGCCCCATGTACCGCTAGGTCAGAGCAAGCCATCACCTACAGTGAGAATGTGGAACCCAGACAGGGAATGGGCTGGAAGCAGCTGCCCTGCCTGCTGTGCCCTCCCCGCCGTCACCCTGCTGGCATCCGGCACTGACCAGGGCAGCTGCGCCAAACACCTTCTCTTGTCTTCTAGGAACTCTATAGGAAGGACTGCAATCTAGCGGCCCAGATGCTGCAGTGCAGCCAGACCTACGGCAGGGTCCATAAGGTGTCCGAGGTAACGTGGCCCCGCCCCACAGCCAGGCCCGCCCCGCCCCAGGATCACTCGGCTCTTTTTGGGCCCTCCCACCCCGAAGCCTCTCCCCACCCTCAAGGAGGAAGCTGCCGCTGGGTGAGCCTGAACCCTCGTCCTTCGCACACCTGGGTCCTGGCTTCCTGATGGTGACAGGCACCCCCACACCCCACTTCCCAGAGCCATCCTAGTCCACTTGAGCAGCCTGCCCTGTTGCCTTTGGGAACCGTTCCTTGTCCCTGGATACTCAATACAACAGGAACTCTTGTCTGTGCCTCACAGTGGCCCTCGGGCCTAGCCACAATTAGAGATAGGTTCATACCGGAGAAGAAACAGACATCAGGCACCGGTATCACCGAGACCACATGGAGTGTGCTGGCAGCAGAGCTCAGAGTCAGCACCAGGCTGCCTGCTACCAAAGGGCAGAGCCCATCCTGCCTATCTGTGACCACCCTAACCAGACTATCTACCCTGCCCACATGCACAAGAACTCTCCTACCTAGACCCCTGTCCGTGTCCTCATTCCCGGGGCCCAGCCACACCTGCAACACTCACAAAATGGATCAAACAGTAGCGGGACATCCCCCACCTGCCACCAGGCACTCAGAGAAAACTGGGCGCCTGGCACTGGCCCCTCAATCTTTGTTGCATCTGTTTCTGAGTCTGTCTCATTGAGCAGTAGGTGGGCAGTGTGACTGGGGAGGGGCCCCCTAGACCCGGTAAGCCTGCAAAAGCCAGTCACCCCTTATTGGGCAGGATCCGGAAAGGGGGCCTGAGACAGGCTAGGTTCCAGCTTCTGCGGACTGACCGCTGGTTCTGCTGGGCCCCGTTGGGAGTAGGGTGGGGCGGGTAGAGGTGATGGGGCTCCCCAGGTGCTGAGACGTTCTTGTCCTTGGGAGTTAAGTTGGCTCCCTGCTGGAGCGAGGTGAGAAGCCTGGGAGATCTGTCGTCCATCCATTTGTCTGTCTGTCAGTGACTCTGGTGTGGTCCTGGCCTCGGGGCCAGGGCTGAGCCGCTGTGCTATGACCTGTCCCCATCTTCCTCTCCTCCCCACGCCTGTTCCAGCTGCCCTCGGACTTCCAGCAACGTGTGAGCCTACACATGGAGAAGCACGGCTGCAGCCTGCCTTCCCCGCTCTGCCACCCGGCCTACGCCGACAGCGTCCCCACCTGCGTCATCGCCAAGGTGCTGGAGAAGCCGGATCCTGCCAGCCTGTCCTCCCGCCTGTCGGATGCCTCGGCCCGCGACCTGGCCTTCCGAGACGGAGTGGAGAAGGCAGGCGCACGGCCCCCGTACAAGGGGGACATCTACTGCAGCGACACGGCCCTCTACTGCCCAGAAGAACGGCAGCATGACCGGCGGCCGAGTGTGGACACGCCAGTGGCCGACGTGGGCTTTCTGCGGGCGCAGAACTCCACCGACAGCGCAGCTGAGGAGGAAGAGGAGGCGGCGGCCTTCCCCGAGGGCTTCCGGCATGAGGCCTTCCCTGGCTACGCGGGCTCGCTGCCCACGTCCAGCTCCTACTCCAGCTTCAGCGCCACGTCCGAGGAGAAGGAGCACGCGCAGGCCAGCACGCTCACCGCCTCGCAGCAGGCCATCTACCTGAACAGCCGCGACGAGCTCTTCAACCGCAAGCCGCCTGCCGCCACCTACGACGGCAGCCCTCGCTTTGGCAAGGCCACGGCCGCCGTGGCAGCCCCACTCGAGGCCCAGGTGGCCCCAGGGTTTGGGCGGACAGTGTCTCCATACCCTGCCGAGCCCTACCGCTTCCCGGCCTCCCCAGGCCCCCAGCAGGCGCTGATGCCCCCAAACCTGTGGAGCCTGAGGGCCAAGCCAGGGGGTTCACGGCTTGCTGGGGAGGACATTCGAGGCCAGTGGCGGCCCCTGAGCGTGGAGGATGTGGGGGCATACTCCTACCCTGCCGGCACCGCAAGCCGTGCCTCACCCTGCAGCTTCTCAGAACGTTATTACAGTGGCAGCGGTGGCAGCCCAGGCAAGAAGGCTGAGGGCCGGGCCAGCCCCCTCTATGCCACCTACAAGGCCGACAGCTTCTCGGAGGGCGATGACCTCTCCCAGGGTCACCTGGCTGAGCCCTGCTTCCTCCGAGCAGGTGGCGACCTGAGCCTCAGCCCCAGCCGCTCAGCTGACCCTCTCCCTGGCTATGCACCCAGTGAGGGGGAAGGGGATAGGCTCGGGGTGCAGCTGTGTGGGGCTGGCAGCAGCCCTGAGCCCGAGCATGGTTCCAGGGACTCCTTGGAGCCCAGCTCCATGGAGGCCTCCCCTGAAATGCACCCTGCAGCCCGTCTCAGCCCCCAGCAGGCATTCCCGAGGACTGGCGGCTCCGGGTTGAGCCGTAAGGACAGTCTCACCAAGGCCCAGCTCTATGGAACCTTGCTCAACTGACTGCCACCAGCAGGCTGCAGTCAGGGCCCCACCCACCCCTCCCCATCCCATCCAGGGCATAGCTGAACCACATGCCTCCTGCCCCTGCCAAGTAATACCCAGTTCCTCCCAACCCTCACCCATCACCCCAGTAGAGCCTGAGAGTACCCTCTCTACCATCATCTGTCCACCCCAGCCACCACTGCGCACCCAGTACGCTTTCACATACTGCGCCCTTTCCCGAAGTGAGCATCCCCCGTTTTTTAAGTGAAACTATTTTTATAGGGTAAAGGGTGTTTCTTCACGCACTTGCCTCCAGCTCCTGGACGGCAACCTTGGCCTTTCCCACATGAAGCTCCTTCATTTTCTGGTGAGGGTGCGTGGGGCCTGCCCCAGGGGGAGGGAGGCCAGGGCCCTGGGGAGGCCACTCTCCACAAGTGGAGAGAAGCCAACAAGCCAGTAACAAGGGATCCCTGAAGTTCTGTACACCGAGAAGGGGAACTGAAGCCACTTAGGGCACAGGAAATGTCTTACACACCCGTCTCTCAGTGCAGCCAGCACTCCACCCTGAGCTCTGCCACAGCCCATAGGCCTGAGCGGGGCTGGGAACACCCCAGAACAGCCGGTGCTCGTTCCTCCCTGCCCCCGCTCCTGCCACCACCTGACTCTACCTCAGACATGAGGCCCCTCCCACCCCTGTGCACCTGTCGTCTGTGATGCATGCTGTCCCGTTACTATTGTACTTTGCATTCATTAATAAAGGACACCAGTAGAAAGAATCCGGGTTCGGGTTGCTTCTCTCTGGGCGCCTTCAGTTTCAGGAGCAGGGTCCTCTTGCCCTCTCAACCAGGTTGGACTCCTTCCTTGCAACCCTCCCTCGCCCGGCATCCAACCTCTGCTGTCCTGGCTGGCTAGACAGATCTGCATTCAGTATACCTTGGCATGTCCCTTGCACTCACCACCCCCTCCTGCACCCCAGCTTTCTCTGATCTCTGAGGCAGATTTTCAGTGTCTCCCCAGGTGCTGTCCTGCTGGTGGCAAGGTCTGTTCTTGCTGTTCTGAAATGTCTTTATTTTGGCTAGGGACCAGATGCTAGCGGTCTCTCCCTGCCTCAGCACCTGGCTTACTGTGCGGGGCTCACCCTTATCTTGGGTGCCCTTCCCGTCTTAGTTGTGTCTCCCTCCAGCTGGGCACAGCCTTCCTTCTGACTTGGATTTCTGTGATCTCCCTAAGGTGTGTCTGGGTGGGGTTCTTCCTCAGGAGTCACAGGGAGTTGGTCACATCTGTGGGTTAGTATATTTCATCAGTTCTGGAAATTTCTATTATTCTTTTAAAATCTTCCACTTCCAGACTGTGGCAGAGCCTTGGACTCCATCCTCAGGCTCCATGGCACTGTGTGGCCCTACTTTTGATTCATCCTGCAGTGTCTGCGCAGCTTGCCTTACACTCTCTTTTGTGTTCACTCACCTGCCAAATGAGGCCACCAGGTTTTCATTCCAGCCGTTTTTTCCATGTCTAGAAGTTGTTTGCTTGACTGTGCCCTGTGCCATTGTCCACTGATTCCTGGTCCCCAGAGCAACTTTCAAGCTCACCCCTTATTTCTGCAAAGCTGGGTCTGGCACTTCCATCACGTGGATTCTATAGGTCTGGGTCCTTGTCCTTGCTCACATCTCCAAGTATCTTCATGTGCCTGGTTATCGGAAAAATGGCCTTTCAACCCTTGAGAAGGCTTGCTGGGGCTCTGCAAGGCCTAGGATGGAGGGTCCCTTCTTCAGAGGGGCTTTCTGTCTGCTCCTGTGGGTGCTTAGAGACCACTTCACCTCAGGTCCCATGCCCTGAATTCCCCTTAACTTCAGTATCTTGCTCCCAGAGAACTGAATCCTGCTGGGCATGGTTCATAGCTGGCTCAGCAGGACCCCAGGGCTGTACATCACCCTGACCCACAGCTGTTTCCTAGAATAACCACGGTGATGGCACTCAGTGCTTCCCTCCTGTCCCTTGTGCAGAAGCTATCCAGCCCCATGCTTGCTCTGCCCACAATGGTTTGGGCAGATGTGGCACTTGGCTCAGAGCTTCAAGAACAGGGCCTGTGTGCATCTAAATGGAAGAGTCTTCCATGCTCCAGGGTAAAGAGTGGATGAGGTCAGGAAAGACTTATACTGGACATTGAAAGATGAATAGTTTGTTCACCAGGTAGCCAACTCCAGCAAAGGCCTAGAAAAGATGACAACTTGGGTGTTCCCAATGGTTCAGTGCCCCCAGGTGCCTCCCTGGCAGCCCTGGAGCCACAGTTTCAGATTCTGTCTATACTTGCAGTGAACAGTTGTCCCTGGCAGCTCCCAAGTACCCAGGTGGCCAGGCAACCCATGGTAGGAGGTCACTTGCCCACAGGCCACGCTCTCTGGAGCGCTACTCAAATCCTACCTGCTCTTTAGCAATGTCTATCTGTGTGCCCACCCCCTGCCCACTCTCTCAAGCCTCACTGGACAGTGCTTAGCTAGGCCCCCATTGGTTGACTATCACCAGGGAAAGGGTCACTTTCCCCCTCTGCAGCCTGAGGACACCAGGTGCCCCCCTGGCAGCCCTGGAGCCACAGTCTCAGATTCTGTCTATACTTGCACAGTGAACAGTTGTCCCTGGCAGCTCCCAAGTACCCAGGCAGCCAGGCAACCCATGGTAGGAGGTCACTTGCCACAGGCCACGCTCTCTGGAGTGCTACTCGAATCCCACCTGCTCTTTAACAATGCCTGTGTGTGCCCACCCCCTGCCCACTCTCCCAAGCCTCACTGGACAGTGCTTAGCTAGGCCCCCATTGGCTGACTATCACCAGGGAAAGGGTCACTTTCCCCCTCTGCAGCCTGAGGACACTGGTCATTTTCCTGGGGACCCCCTAGACAGTTATCCCACTGTATGGAGCCCAGCTGGGCTGTGGGACACCAAAGAGAGGGAGATGTCATTTGGGAAGGCAGTCAAATGAGGCAAGAGTGCAGGCTTCAAGGACACAGTAGCCCCAACACATGCCTTGCTCTTAGAGTGGCAGCCTCCCCATGGGACACTGAGGGTCATGGCCACCCTGTGAGGGCTGCGTTTTAGTGCCACTCATGAAAGTCACAGCCTGGGTTGCTGAACAAGTCAGCAGTGAGCACAGGGCCTGCACAGGCATGTCCAGATGAGGCCGCCTTTCTCCTAGGACGTCTCTGATCTGGTGTTGCAGGTTGCAGATGTGAAAGTGGGATTGAGGTGAGCTCGGCCCAGGAGGGTAGGTGGAGGGAGAGCCCACACTCCAGGTTCATTCCTGCTCTGTGCTTTCCAAATTTAGCTTTCCTATTTTTAAATTGCAAATGGTGAACTCCTGACACCTTGGCAGGGATCAAAGTCAGTCTTTCTGAATGCTCTTTGGAAGAAGGCATTTGCAAAAAATAGGGAAAGCATAGGACACACCTGCCCTCCTGCCCAGGAAACCAGCTGGGCAGCCCAGTACATGGGGCACAGTCCACCGGCTCCTACAGGGCACTTCATAGCGAAACCAAATCCTAGGAGTAACATCAGGAAAGAGCCTCGGCAGGATTCCTGGGGTGCCCTGGCTGTTCCCCCTGTATCCTTGAGGTAGAGCTGTCTGTCCAAGTGACAATGACAGGATGTCAATTTGCAAAGCTATTTCCTCTACATGTGTCCTGCTTGCCCCAACAGGCCCACTGCACAGATGAGAAAGCAGAGGCTCCAAGAAGCCAAACCTATGCCAGCAGGGGTCTGAGTTACCCCAGGGTCATGGGCAGAAGAGGGCTGGGCACTCAGGTGAGCAGGGAGACCCTCGACAGCCACCCCTAGGCCTCCTGGGGGGAAGTCTGATTTCCAGAGTCAATCAGTGGTTACTCTGGCACACAGCATCAGGGCCAGTGATCAGAAGATACCCTGGAAGGTAGACACATGGGGTGCTGGGTAGAAACTATCACACCTGGAACCAGGACTTGGGATGGCAGCTAGGTGGGCAGGACCAGGAGAGATGCTGGGGACAGGTGGGGGGGCCCAGAAGGCTGACCACCCCCCATGTTCTATGGTTCATTCCTACATTCATTCATTTGAAAACCATTGCTGAGGCCTGGAGCTGGGGGAGACACTTGTAAAGACACAAGTAGGGCTCTTCTGGGGACACATCAATCCTCTGGCTCCAGAAGATTCCAGCAAAGCCTTAGAATGGAACCCTGCCCTGGGATCCAGCCTGAATGGGCTCAACTCCACACGGATCTGAGCATCCTGTGCACCCATTGCACAAAGGCCTCCAGACACAGTTTCATTAATCCCGCAAGATGATACTTCCTGTACTCCTCTCAGAAGGGGAAACTGAGACACTGGGTGACCACATAGCTTGCCTAAAGTCACACAGTAATAAAAGAAATAGAGAGGCAGAGTTTAAATCCAGGCCTGGAGGATTCTAAAGCCTTTGTCCCAACAAGCCACACAGCAGTTATTCACACACACCACATCTCTCTTTCCTGGACAGACACATGGCGTGGCAGCACAGACACCCTCCTGACAATGGGCAAGAAGCAGCAGGAGAGGGGCTTGGAGCTGAGTGGAGCAAGAACGCAGATTCTGGTGTCCTATGGGGAACAGCAGAGAGGTGGGGCCCTGGAGGCCTGTAGAGCTTCTGTACAGAGCTCCTGGGCAAGACCAGAGCCCCACGCCCTAAGGACAACACTCAGGACCCGCAGGGTGACCACCCACCTCAAGCTCCCCTACCTGCAGTGGAGAGTAAGAGGAGGCTGCTAATATACAGTCATTGCAAAATCACATTAAAAACGCAGAACACGCATTTAATGGGCAGCCCCATCCATTTGGCAAATGTCTTTACTAACAGTCCTCACATCCTGAGACAGATTCTCACCCTCTTGCACAGATGAAGTCACTGAGACCCAGCAGCCATGAGGACAGCCTCCGCCCAGGCCTGACCTCCAGCCAGCCTCAGTGCACACCACCCACCCCAGGAGGCAGGGTCTCAGCTGCCAGCGTCAGTGCCAGATCTTGATGTCGCCTCCCCAGGAGCAGGTGCCAAGGACAGAGGGCAGCACAGGGTGGTAGGTGGTGCCAAGGCAGGCCTGAGTGTGCCCTTGCAGCATGCACGCCCGACTGGCAGTGCGGAAGCTGAACATCAGGATCCGGCCATCGGCACTGCCTGTCACCAGCAGGTCACCACATGGGGAGCACTCACAGCCTACAGCATAGCCTTCTACCTGCAGAGAAAGACATGGGATCAGCAGGCTACATGAGAGGTGGCAGGGCAGTATGCCCCGCTGCTCTACAAAGTCAAGCTGAGAACCAGGAGGTGGGAGCCCTGAAGCCAAAGCCTGAGCTCTGTCTGAGGCTAGAGGTTGGTGGTGTGACCTGGTGTCCCAAAGGCTGCCAGTTCTAACAGGCGTGTCAAACCTATGGCCCATAAGCTGCATATCCCCACAATAGTTATGAATATGGCCCAACACACACTGCAAATTTACTTAATAAATAGGGGGTTTTGCTATTTCTTTTTTGTAACTGGATTGCACAGTTCTCAAGTGTGACCTTTTAGATGACAATGACCTGTCACAGGTTAGACATGCCAGGTAGTGGAATCCAGCTGCAGCAGCTCCAGTAAAGTTAGGGGTCTCGCACCAAGTAAAGTCACTGAGTCCCGGCCTCTTTCACCCCAGCAAAGCAGGACCCAGGCAGGAGAAGGGAAGACAAAGAAATGGCCCATGCTAACCTGTCCCGTCCCTTTGTCCATGCCGTGTGAACCAACTAACAACTGCTTTCCTTCCCAGTAGCTGGGCATCAGACGTGGCCTGGGCCATGAGCGGACCCCAGCCCACAAAGTCCACAGTCACTTGAGTAAAAAGAAACAGAGCACCCAGAAGATCTGCATGCCCTGAGTTCAGGTACAGCCTGGCTGGTGGTTCTAGAGCCAGCGATCAGCATTTGACCTAGGAGACAAAGTGGGGGTACCTTGTGTCCTTCATAGCGCCGTCGTCTACTCATCCGGTAGGGCCACACAGCAGAGAAGAGGGCCAGGTAGTTGCCATTGGTTTGTGCCAGGAACACAGGCTCCCTCGGGTGTAAGGCAAGGCTGGGGCAGGTATACCTCTCCTGAGAAAGAACAGGAGAGTTGAAGGTCAGTGCTGGGCTTTTCTTCCTCCCACAGATCCCACATCCTGCTCGTGGCTTGTTCCCTCTTCCTAGGCCTTGACTTGGAGGTCTATATGGGTTTCCTGTTGCTGCTGTAACAAGTTACCACATAGTCAGAGCTTTAAAACAACACAACTGCACTGTCTGCTGCTCTATGGTCTGATGTGGGCCTCAGTAGTCTAAAACCAGTGTCAGAAGGCTGTGTCCCTCCTGCAGGGTACTGAAGGGAAGCTCACTTCCTTGCCCCCTTCCATCTTGCAGAAAGCACCTGTGAGCTTATGGGAGGCTGAAAAATGCCCTTGAATATATCCATGTTCTGATTCCTACAGTGAATGTTACCTCAACAGGTCAAAAGGGTCTCTATAGAGAGTTTAATGGCATCAAGAAGAGATTCTCCTCTACTGTTGCTCTATCACATGTCCCTAAGAGGGAAGCAGAGGGGTACTGGATGCACAGCAAAGGCAATGCGGAGGTGCTCAGGCAGGTGCGATGCAGCCATCAGTCACAGAAGGACAACAGCTCCCAGGGCCAGAAGAAGTAGGAAATGCTCCTCCCCTGGAGCTCCTCAGGAGCGAACCCTGCCCACACCTGGATTTCAACACAGTACTATATAATATTTATTAAGGATTTCTAGCCTCAGACCTGTGGGGGAATAAATCTGTTTTATTTTAAGCAACCAAGTCTGTGGTGATATTTCACAAAGGAATAGAAAATAGATCTGAATTTCCATCTCCCCACTACTATAGTGAGCTGCTGAGGGGCAGCCCGCCCAGCCTAGTCTCCTACCCTTGCCAGACAAAAAGATAAAGACACAAGAAAACTTCAAAACAGCAGGGTGGAGGAGCTCACCTAGGAATCATCCTTAAAGCTCTCCTCTCAACTATGCCAGGTCTGGCCTAAGTACTATCCTTAAGCCACCAGCTTGAAAGGACCCGACAGAGTAAATAAGCTCTCTGTGGAAGCAGCCAGATCACTATTCCCACCAGCACAGCTGGATGATGAGCTGGCTTCCCAGTGAGACATCAGCAGAGCACTTACTTGCCCCACAAAGTATAGAGGTGGCGGGATAGGATGGCCAGCAGCAATCACCTGCCTCATTCCTTCATCTCTGCTGGGCTCTCCTAGGCAGGAGGCTCTCCATGACCAGAATTGCTCTCTAGCCCCCTCCCAGTGAAGTCTAGAGGCTGGTTTGCTGAGGTTCACTTAGAACCCACTGAGAGGAAGAACAAGACAGCAAAAGGGTGGTCTAGATGCACATATGATCAAGACTAAGATCCAGGAGCAGAACACCAAAGAAATCAGTAACAGTTTATCTGACATCTCAAAACATGGTGATGATGATCACAGTGATGGGGATGAAGATGGTAATGAGCACAGTGATGCTGATGGTGGTGCTGGTGGTGGTGATGATGGTAGTGACCATAGTGATCATAATGATGGTGGTAGTGATCACAGTGATCATAACGATGGTGGTAGTGACCATAGTGATCATAATGATGGTGGTAGTGATCACAGTGATCATAATGATGGTAGTAGTGATCATAGTGATCATAATGCCAGTGGTGGTGATGATGATCGTAGTGATCACAGTGATCATAATGATGGTGGTAGTGATCACAGTGATCATAATGATGGTGGTAGTGATCATAGTGATCATAATGACAGTGGTGGTGATGATGATCGTAGTGATCACAGTGATGGTGGTGGTGATCATAGTGATAGCAGTAGTGGTTATGGTGGTGCTGGTGGTGCTGGTGATGTTGATTGTGATGAGGGTAGTGGGGTTAAGAATGACAGTTACAGTATTATGAGTACTCTCTGTGACCCTTTTATAAGCATATACATTCTCATTCTTCTCTCTCTCTCCTCTCTCTCCTCTCTCTCCTCCCTCCCTCTCTCTCTCTCTCTCTCTCCCCTCTCTCTCTCTCTCTCTCTCTCTCTCTCTCTCTCTCTCTCTCTCTCTGTCATCATTCTCTCTCTCTCTCTCTCTCTGTCATCATCCCATGGGTACCAGGAGGTGACGTCTACAAAGGCTATGCAGCCAACCTAAACCTGATCTTTGCACACCCCGTCCTAGAGATTCCAAGCAGCTAATACTCTCCTCCCCAGACAGAACGGGGCTCAGGACCAGCCCAGGGCTATGGGGACATGGCCCTATGGCTGAAACTGAAAGCAATGCCACATAGAGCTTCTCACATGGAAAATCTGGTTGGAGATTTTGGCAGAGGTCCGGAAGTCCCAGGCAATAATAGTTCGGTCAGCAGAGTCTCGGGTGGATGCATCAGTGCTGCTCAGGAACTCAGAGCCTTCATGGAGGAAGAGAATGTCCAAGGTCTGCTGGATTGTTGCCTTGTAGCCTCTTACTACCTGCAAAAGTGGCCACCAGTCACCATGGTGGGTCTGCGAGCACAGGGCAGGTATGGGCCAAGGGGGGTTACTGAGCACGTGGGGATTTAGTGAGACTATTCTGGGCCATACACACTCTGAGAAACCCTGGTATATGTCATCCTGGGACAGTCCAGCTTCTCCACCAGGTCAACGTCTGTGGCTCTTGGGAGCTGCTGTGACATCTAGATGCAGCGGGACCTTGCGGCTATACCCGCCCCACCTCTGTCAGCACATGGATGGGCCCAATGGGGCCCAGTTGTTTCCCAGGTTGACAGCAACACGGAACGCGAGCGTTTTAGGGGACAGACCTACCGTAAAGCCACAGTCCCAGAACATATCTTACTTTTAAAGACATGTATTTCCTGAGCATCACCACCACCATTTCACAGCTTCTTGTCTCCTAAGCAACGAGAGTCAAGTGCCCGCCACTTTCCTCAGTTTGCTGTACCCAACTCCTGCTCTGGCACAGCTGGCTTGGACAGAGTGTGGCCCAGCACCAGGACAAAAAGCAGCTGTGCTGAGCATGCTCATGCCTGGCAGTACCAAAATGACCACCCCTTGCCTGGGAGGGATGCCAGGCCAGGACACTGGCCCGCTGCGGGCCCGGCCACAGGGTTACCAGCGCCCAGGGCGCCACCATGTGGCTGTAGTGTAGACACAGTTCTCAGGCGCTACTGGCTATGAAATGAGCAGAACCAACAAACTTAAGAAAAAGGTTCATACCTTTAAATTTTTTAGGCATATTTTCCATCATCCTCTTTCAAATGTATATGCTTAATTCATACTACATGCAAACTTGGTAACTTTAGTTTAGGCTGGGGTAGGGCAGAAAGGGTTGGGACCCATTTCAGGATGAGGTGCGCTTTGCTCAGAAAGATGTGGGATTTATCAAGACGACACATCCACGGCCAGGCAGAGCATCTCCCAACCCCAGAAGCTTCTCTGGAGCCCAGAACTCGGTCTCTAGTTGGCTAGTTCCTGCCTCTGGAAGTTCCTGGGGTCAAGTATGGGCAACAGGTGACTTGGCCTCTTCACAAGCAGCCTTCTACTCGTGGGTGACTTCAAGGTGAACCCTGAACCCTGAACCCTGAAGAAAAGCTGGCCCTGAAGACTTCAGTAGTCTGGACGAAGAGCCGGGGTGCCCCTTATAAATGCCTGCAGCAGCTCCCCCAGGCAGCAGAGGCTGCCTGTCTTCCTGGGTGCCATCCTGCATGCACCAGGATTCATGAGCACAGCCCCATAGCCTGGCAGAGAAGAGCTCCAGTCAGCTAGGGGCCTCATTGCTGCTGAGAGGTACCCCAGATGGGTCTAGGGCTGAAGCACCTAGGGCCTGGGAGGAGGTGGACACACCATCATAGTCCCCAGCATCTGCTCCAGTGAGTTTACACAACACCCAGTGCTCAGAACA